AGGCTAGATCTTTTTATAGCACAGAGAATGATCCTCATCGGAGGAGATAAGCCCACTCCTGTCTCTATGGGGTTAAAGAGCCCCCTCCATAGGGCATGATGGGATTCATTTTGTAAAGTTGGTTCAATCTTACAAGGAGTGACTACTCTCCTGAGCCTTATTGATCTTGCTTGTTGTCATGAAATTCAGGTTTTTCTCACTTTCATGATATTTGTATATTTGAACAAGGTAATTATATTGCACAATTGGTTTTCTTTTCTTTGGAGAAGACTTCCTTGTTAAATATATACAAATGAAAAGAAGATGGAGTTGGGGATATGGCAGATCAATAGGTAGCAAGGTAAAGAGCCTCTCTGAGATAAACAACTCAGAATCTAGAATTTAACATCATGGAGAAGACCAGATGAAAGGAGAGGGATTCTCACGACCCAGGAAGAAACAAAAAAGAAAAGGGGAAGAAAAGAAAAAGAAAAACATGGACAGAAGGCTGGAAACAGATGTGCTCACGCTGGAGCTGGTCCCACAGTGTGCTAGGCACTACTAGAGCCCAAGAACTCAACCATGAGGTTGTGTTGAAGTCAGGGGTTGGCGAGCCCAAGGACCCCAGTGGGGGGACCCATCACAACAGAGAACAGAGCTAGAGTGGAGATCTGCACCAACCCATGATGAGTGTTCAGAATTTGGTCCTCCCACTGGAGGAGGTGACCAGCTGAGTGACATTTTGGAGTCAGGCAGGACAGGCCTGAATGCACAACTGTAGTGGCTTCAGTTGGCCACTCCTGGCACAGAGCAGATTGGTGGGAATGGCTTTGACTGGGTCCCCCCTCCAATCCAAGATCCAATAGCCAGGGACAAAGTTGCCCTTGAAGCTGTCCCAGACCAGTTCCATCTGCATGGTATACACTAATGTCATGAAAACTCTCAGTAGTTTACTGGCTTAGAGAGCAGAGGCCAGCCTTCAGTGCCCCTGCTTGGCCCCTGCTTGTACCTCAGTGGACAACAGTACTCTGGGGAGGGCAGCAATCCCCAGCCAGCACACTTCAGAGTAATTGTAACCAATACAGAATGGGCCTGGGACCTCTACTATACACTTGTCTGGAAGAAACCAGGAATATGACAAGAGAAAGAAACAAAAAAAATGTCTCCAGCTTCCAACCTAAATAATATTGGTCCAGGAGAGGTAAACACAGAAGAGATAAAGGGCAGCATAACTGCAGTATTGGAAGCAGCATCAGCCGGCAGAAAGAAATATCTTTGTGACACTGTAGAAGAACTCAAAACAAAAATACCAATACAAAAAAAGAAAGATTAATAAAAGGAATGCTAAGCACATCTCAAGAAGATGTTGATGGAAGAATAGAGGAACGTAGAAAAAGGAAGGAAAGCTTTGATGAAGAATATTTTAAAAATCTAGAACACATGAAATGGATTCAAAGATTACCAGGAAATTAAAATCTCTATTAAAAGCTGGAAAAACTGCTTGAAAGAAACTAAAGATAGACTATCAAAACAGACAGGTTTTCAATGTGTGATCTTGAAAGGAGAGATCTCTTACAAATAACAAGGAAGTAACAATACAAAAGCTAGAGGATCTATAACTTAAGATTAAATTAATGTGAGTGAAGAATCAGGGGTAAACACAAGTGAAATACAAAGGCTATTCACAGAAATGATGAATGAAAACTCCCAAGCACAGATAAAGGAAATGATATTCACATACATAATGCATACAGAATTCCAGCCAGCTACAATCAAAACAGAACTACACCCAGATATAATAAAGGTCCCAGAAATTCAACCTAAGAACAGAATACTAAAAGCTGTCAGAGAAAAGAAACATATCATCAATAAAGGAAAACTCATTAAAATCACAGCAGACTTCTTGACACAAACCATCAAATCAAGAAGAGCCTGGAGTGAAGTATTTCAAGCCCGACAGAAAATAACCTCCAACTAAGATTGATGTACCTTGCAAAACTATCTCTCAAAATTGAGAAACAAGATGCTTCCATGGCAAAGAGGAACTGGGGAGTTCATGACCACCAATCCAGCTCTACAAAAAATAATGAAGGACATTCTAGAGAGAAAAATAAAGAAATCATGGTTTCAGGAACAGTAGCAGAAAGGCCTAATTGAATGAGGCAGCCAGTGAAATGAAGGAGAAAAGTAGACAACAATGGCAGAAAAATAGGATAGCAGAGATGAGCCAGAGAAGGTTGGCTATAATCACTAACATAGATGGCCTTCATACACTAACAAAAAGAAACACAAACAGAGTAGATCAGGAGATAGGGTCCAAAGAGATGCTCTATATAGGAAATACAATCAACCTGAACGTGAGTATTGGACTGAAAGTCAAAGATGAGAAAATATGGCATAAGCACCTGCCTTGCAAGCAGGCGGTCATGAGTTCGATCCTTGGTACCAATTAAAAAAATAAAAGAAAAAAAAGATGAGAAAATAATTCTCTATGTGACAGGAAACCACAGAGAAATAACAGAAGCTCACCCAGCAGTTGAAGATAGGTTGGAAAGGCATGACACTTTTGTGCAGTGGAGAACTACTCAGTTATAAGAAAGGAAAACCTTGAGGCTCTTGTAGGTAAATGGATACAACTTAAGATCAATCCTAGGAGTAAAAATGTTCAGAACCATTTAGGTAAATAACAGGTTGCTTCCCTAATCTAAAATTAAAAGAGTTAGTGGGATACAAAATGTACAATGCACACTGTGAAAGTGAAAGGGAAGGAACTGTCTAAAAAGGGAAGGAAGAAGACATTGTTAATATTGTATCATGACTTTAAACCCACATTGTTCTCAAAAAAGGGAAGGAAGAAGACATTGTTAATATTGTATGACTTTAAACCCACATTGTTCTCATCACTCTGTTTAGTTTGGCCATATTCTGTTCTAGTCTGTCTACTTATACTAGATTTGAGGGCACAGAGAGCTATTCCAAAAATAGCAGGCTGTACTACACTAACCATCCTTAATCCTATTACCTTAATCTGAGGCCCTGTATTACTTACACTGTATTATAATGACTGATCTTATTTGAATTTGGTTTGTTACATCAGAGTCTTGTCTTGACTGATTTTATTTGAATCAGTAATATTTGATAGTATCAAGTCTGAGAGTATAGGTAATTACTCTGAAGATGATAATATTCATTCAGATACCCATTCTGATTTGACTAATACCTGCTTTTGAAGTCCTGTAATGACTCAATATTTGTTTTTATTTATGTTGTTCTGTACTGCTATGTTCAATTTTACTGTGCCTGATGATATAGACAATTCTATTGAAGATAACAAGAGACATTATGGTAGCCATTGTATATCACCTTGTATTGTGTTTTTAAACACATACTATGTTGATCATTTAGTTTTGAAGGAACTCATTCTGTTTTCCTTCTCATTTGGTTTTATTCTTTTCAAAATAAATAAAAAAGAACAAGTGAAAAGAAAAGCAAAACCCTGATTTTAAATAAAAGGTCACCAAAAAGGAAACTTATTTTGCTCAATAGGTATCAGCAGGAAGCCCCATGTGTTTTATGAAAATTAATGGAAAATACCTGAGGAGCTCATAGACACAGGTGCAGATATTTCTGTAATTGCATTAAATCAATGGCCATATACATGACTAATTAAACCCATTCCCACATCCTTGGTGGGAGTGGCATCTCCATAATGTGTCTCATGAAATGCTTCTTCTACCTTATTAAGGACAAGATAACAACAGTATCTTTTCTTACCTTATGTGGCTCCTATCTCTGTCAATTTATGGAGTAGAGACTTGCTACAGAAATGGAAATTAATGATAACTAATGAGACAGGGTGTGATGCAGAACATATGATGAATAGAATGGTTTTTGAAATGGGAAAAGACTTAAAAGAAATCACTAAACCTATCACCTCTGTTCCTAAAAATAATAAATGTTGAATTTTGATGGGAACCATTGTAATTTCTCCTGCTAAAAGTGCTTTACCTTTACAATGGAAAACATATTCACCTATATGGGTTGCTCAATGATTCCTTAAATATAAGAAGCTGGTGCAATTTGATTACAAAACAATTGTAGTTGAAACATTTGGAACCCTCTGTTAGTCCCTGGAATACACCTACCTTTGTTATTCACAAAAAAAAAAAAAAACAGGTAAATGGACATTACTACAAGATCTAACAGTTGTAAATGCTTGCATCCTACCCATGGAGGCACTACAATCAGGACTGCTCAATCCAACCACAGTCCCAAGAGATTGGTCCCTTAATTATAATTTATTTTTAAATTTCTTTATAAATATTTCTTTTTATCTGTCAAATAAGTAGTGTTTTGCCTCTGCTGTCCCTAGTAAAAATTTTAAAGTACCAATGAAGCATTATCAGTGGGTAATACTACTTCAAAATATGAGAAATTGCCCCACCAACTGTCAGAGTTTTAAAGTACAAGACTTACGAAGAGTAAGACAAATCTTTCCTTTCACTTATACTATTATATGGATGGTATGCAATTGGCTGCACCTAATAGACAACAACTTTATGAAATTTTTGCTGAAACAAGATTATTATCATTTAGTCTCTTTATTGCCCCAGATAAGATTCAGTTATCTAGTCCTTATTATTTGGGAACACTAGTGATGATCCAAACTCTAAGGCCACAAAATTACAAATCAGATATAATCATCTAAAGAGTTTAACTGATTTTCCAAAATTATTAGGAGACATAAGTTGGATATGATCAACATTGGGTATTGTTACCTATAAATTCAAAAATCTATATAATACCTTACAAAATGATAGAATACTAAGGAGTGCAGAAAGAGCCTCTCTGAGATTTGCTGTTCAGACACTGAAATATAGCAATGCAAGGAAGAGAAGGAGAGAAGTGGGTCCCCTGAATCCAGGAAACATTTGCAGTGGAAACTTAGGCCCATGTGGAGACCAAAAAGATAAACTTCAATAAAGAAGAAGGAGGTGGCAGCTCCTTGAATCAAGACTCACTGTTTGTGGCAATCATATAAGCCTCCATAACAGTTGCAGCAGTGCAACAGAGTGGATGCCATGGATTTCACTGGCTGGTGAGTGGGCACATTTAAACAGACTTCAGGAGATGGTGATTGACCAGGAGCTATCTTAAAGAGGGGCCAAGCTCAGAACTCAGAACAACTGTTGGCTCCATTCAGTGTTTCCCAGGTGAGTTCAAGTCTGCAGAAGATACAATGACTGTTGCAGGCTGAAGAGGTCTGGCCCAAGCCTGCTGGCTAGAAACCAGCCTCAACTTGAGGGACACAGGTTCACTGAGGTTATCCACAATTGCCATAAAGCCACTGCTGGCTTGTCGGGGTAAATCAGCACAGATCTGGACTTGTCTCCACATGTGGTCTACCAGGGACCATGCAGAAAAATCTTGAAGTAGACTTTTAATCCAGTTTTATTTTCTCCCTCTCTCCCTTTTCTTGTTTTGTTTCTTCATTATTTGATCTTGTTTATATATAAGTCTGAACATAGTTTCTAGTTGTGAGTGCGGTTGGTGTTCTATTCTAGTTTTTCTTTTTTCTCAATACAGGGTTTAGCTATGCAGTAAAGGCTGACCTTTAGCTCACTTTGTAACCCAGGCTGGTCTCAGATGTGCAATAATCTTCCAGCCACTCAAGTGCTGAGATTACAAATGTGCACCACCATATCTGGCTCTTTTTTCATTTCTTTCTCTTTCATTTCTGCCTTCTGCACCAGCTTCCCAAAGTTTTCATGATCCTTTTTTGTCCTCCAGCCTTGCTTTTAATCTCTTACACTTTTTCTAATTTTTTTATTTTTCCCATAGCTCCTTTTAAATTTTCTCCCCTGACAGTAAAATTAATATATTGAGAGTTTATTTTCTACATATAATTTCCTGGTTTGTTTTAGATTTTTTAAATAATCACAAATCTAGCTAATACAGTTAATGCTGGCAAATTAATGACTATCTCAGTTTGTCATTTTCTAGGTTGTATTTCATGCCATTGTTGTTACTGATGGTACCACTTTAGCCAAAGTAACATGATTCTCCTAAACAGCTGTTCTTTCCTGTTATATCAAGACTGAGATTGCCTGTGGGTCATAGAAAATATTGTGGGCCAATTACAAGGAACCAGGTCTGGGCCTATTAGGCAATTTCTCATCCCCAATGAAGTAAAGAGGTCGGGTCTTGCAACAGACTCAAATCCCAAAATCCAGCTACACCTGGAAGACATCTTGGAGAAATAACCCTTTACTAAGAGTTCTAAGTACTAGCAAGAAAGCTACTTGCCACATGTAATTTACAAGCATCAACCCAGGAGTTAAACTAAAAAGAAAGAAAAACATAAGGAAAAAAATGAGAAGACACTTAAACAAGATGTGACCCCAGATATGCAGTACACCAAAGGCACACCTGGTATGCAGTGAGGTGGGATAGTCTAAAAGACTGTTGTATGGCCTCTCTTAAATGGTAACAACAAGTAAAATGAACGAGGCTTAAGAAAAAATCAAATTAGAAAGAATTTCTCAGGTAAATACAGAGATGTGACTTTAGAGAATGTACAGATAAATAAATGGAGGATTTAGGAAAATTATAGAAATCATGAATGTCCAACACAGGAAAGAAATGGAATTCATAGAAAAGTTTCAAGAAGATATGTATAAGAATAAAAATTCCTTTGAAAGTACCCATAGCACCTCCTCCACACCAAGAATATTAGGCAGATTGAGGAGTGTGCCAATAAGGGCTTCCCAAACATGGAGGAAATTAAAAGGGCTTATGAGACACCCAGTGACACAGAAGGGCCTCAGCGGAGACAAACACTATAGACAAGGAAATCTAGTGACCTGTAATAACCTGAAGACATAGCAACAGCAGGATGAAGGGTGGTCATACATCAACACACCTAGGCTACTAAGCCTAGGAAGAATATAGGACTCACCTGACAGGACTCACAGAAGAAACTCAGGTAACTGGCCCTCCTCTTCATTGTGGTACTCAATAATCAGACAAGCATCAACCACATAGTAGGACCCTAAGATACACACTACCAACAGTTGTGACTATTGGGATTAAAAAAACAAATATTAGCCCAAATGGTGAAAATGAAGAAACAAAAAAGTAAAATGCCATAGCAAACATCTAGTCCATCAGGAGCAAGAACAGGAGAGTGAAATAGCGGACTCTAAAAGTCATAAATCAGAAATCTCTGAAAAGATAGCAAGTGAAATAAAGAAACAAATCCATGAGGCTATAGAGAAAATTAAATTCGAAATAATTTCTCACGTAAAGACAGAAATAGCAACCTTATAAATGAATTGCTCATCATAGCCAGCAAAAAATGGATAAAAAATATATATGAGTTGGGACTGGGGATTTACCTCAGTGATTCAAATGCTTTCCTTTTAAGTGCAAGGTCATGAGTTTGATGCCCTGTACTCCCCCCCTCCCCCCAAAAAAAGAAAAAAGAAAAACCAGGAGCATCAGAAATTGATTGAAACCTTATTAATGAATAATATAGAAAACAAGCAGAATCAATGAAACAAATTCAAAGAGATATCCAAGAAACAATTTTATTGAAAGCTGGGAAAGCTGTTTAAATGAAGCTGATCATAGAATTCTTTACCTTGAGGACAGTATCACAGCTAGTGATCACGAAAGAGTACAACTTTTCAAAAAACAAAGCAGCATGAAATTACAATTCAGCAGCTTAAAGATTACAAGAAGAGACACAATGTAAGACTACTAGACATCAGATGCAGGACTCAACACAAATGACATAGGTAAACTATTCACAAAAATAATAGCAGAAAATTTCCCAAACATGAGGAAAAAATTTGATATGAACATAAATGAGGCATACAGAAACCATACAGTAACAATCAACATAAACCTACACCCAGACATATGGTAATTAAGACCCAGAACATACAGAGTAAAAGCTGTTAGAAAGACACAACTCACCTGTCAATGAAAACCCATTAGAATCACAGCAGACTTTTCAGTGCAAACCTTCAAGTAAAGATGAACTTGGAGTGAAGTATTTCAAGCTCTAAAAGAAAACAAGTTTCATCCAAGACTTATGTACCCAGCTGTTGGGAGCCTGCCATGTTATTCATGAGAGCATATTCATAAGATGGCACCCGCCTGCCGCCTCTGCTGCTCCCCCGCCCATCGTGTGCCCAAGATGGCACCTACATCCTGCTTCCGGGTTCTTGCTCGGCTCACCGCCACTGCCAAATATGGTAGTCATTGATTACTTCCCCGTTATCACCCAATTGCCTGTCCCCACGTATAATCTCATGGTTGGATAGTACTAGCCTTATAAGCTTAGGCATAGGAAGTGCTCGGGGCACAACACGGAAGAAGCCGTTGAGGACGGACATGTATTGAGGTTGCTGCCCAGTCAATAAAGGTGCTTGCAGAGGCTGAGTGTTCGTGTGCTCCATTCTGCGGGACGGAAGTGGCTCCGGACACCCAGCAAAACTGTCTTTCACATTTAATGGAGAAACAAGATACTTCCATGACAAAGAACAGCTGAAGAAATACATGTCCACCAAACAAACCCTAGAAACAGTAATGAAAGATGTACTAGATAAAGATAAAAAATTACCAGAACAACAACAGGAAGAAATGACCAGGAAAGACAAGCCATTGAACAATGAGGAAAAGCAGAAAACAAACAATAGGAACATAATGTGTCAAAGTTGAGTGAGTATGAGTTACATCCATCAATGTAAATGGTCTCAATTTACCTATCAAAAGAAGCAGATTGATGGAATGGTCAAGAAACAGGATCTCACAATATGCTGTATACAGGAAACACATCTGACTCAAAAGGAAAACCATAGATTAAAAGTCAAGGGATGGAAAACAGTATTCCATGCAACAGAAACCCAGAAAAAACCAAGGGTATGTATTCTGTCAGCAGACAAAGTAAATTCCAAACCTAAAATGATTAAAAGAGATAAAGAAGGCCACTACATACTGGTTGGTGGAAAAATTTAAGAGGAAAATCTAACAATTATAAATGTACATGTATAAAGTACACGAGAACCAAACTATAAAAGACAAATGCTAATGGACATGAAAAGCTAGATATACAAGAACACAATTATATATATATATATATATATAGCAGACCTTAACACCCCACTGTCACAGAAAGATATATCAACTAGACAAAGAGTCAGCAAAGAAATCACAGAACTGAACAATACCTGTGAGCAAATGGACTTAGTGAATGTTTGCAAAGAGTTGTTGCAAACCACAACAGAATATACATTCTTCTCAGCTGTATATGGGTAATTCTCCCAAATGGACCATATGTTAACCCATAAAACATGCTTAAGTAAATGCAAAGGAATTCAAATTATCCCATGCATAGTATCTAACATTAGTGTACTGATATTGGAAATCAATGGCAAAAGCAATTGGTATACCTGCCTAAATACATGGAAATTAAATAACAACCTTCTGAATGACCAGTGGGTTACAGGTGAAATTAAATAAAAAATAAAACAATGCATGCAGTTCAACAAAAATGCAGGTACAACATGCCATAAGCAATGGGACACAATTATTGTAGTCCTATGGGGAAAATATATAGCAATAAATTGTCATATCAAGAAAATCGAACAAGCACATACAAACAACTTAATGCTACATCTCAAGTATCTAGAAAAGGAAGAGCAAGCCAAAACCAAAGCTCTTAGAATAGAGGAAATTGTAAAGAACAAAGCAGAAATTAATGCAATTGAAACTAAATAATACAAAGAATTAATGAAACAAAAAGCTGGTTTTTGACAGAATAAACAAAATTGATAAACTCTAGCCAATCTTATCAATAAAAAGAAAGAAAAAACTCAAATTTACCCAACAAGAACTGAAAGAAGGCAGATTACTACAAAGCCCATGAAAATTCAAAGGATCATAACACCTACTTTGGAAATCTCTGCTCACACAGAGTGAAAAACACAGAGGAATTGGCCAGATTTCTAGAAACATATGAACTACCAAAGCTCAATCAAGAAGATATACTAATTTTAAGTGAGGCAATGTCAGCTAACAAAATTGAAAACATGATTTAAAAC